GGTTCGTGGGCCTGGAAGTTCGGGAGGAGTAAAATAAGCCTCCTCCCCACTGCAGAAGAGATGGCTCCTCAGAGCCCTTGTAAAAGCTGCCTGAGGACACTGTTTCCCCAGAACCTTGAGGAAGGAGAAGGTATGGTGATGCAGAGGAATGGGGACAAGGAAGGACAGCTGGGAAATGGCACAGGAAGGGGAGCCATGGGAAAGGGGTGTCTGGGTCTTACTCACATGCGGGTAGAGGGGGAAGTGGAGGTTTTTCCTGAGCTGCTCAGTGGAGCTGCCACACCAGTCCTCAAACACGTGCAGATTGGCCTGGCCCTGGAACTGGGGATGCAAAAACAGAGGAGAGTGAATTGCTGCATCACTCCCGCGCATCCTTCCCCTATCCAGCCAAGCTCTGCAACAGCACCCAGCACTGGAGCCCTGCTGAGAGAGAAGGAAGATCCCACTGCCATGAGGGTCTGGGTCTGCAAGAGACATGGGCCTTGTATCTAACCCACTGAGGGGTTTGGGTTGGGACCAGGTGACAGTGTTAAGAGGACCAGGGAACTATGACAGTGCTGGGGAGAACTCAGTTAAATGGTTGGGATTCTTGGAAGACCTTGCTGGTGGGTGAATCACTTCATTTTGCTACTCCATGTTGATGTTCAACCAGAAAACTGTGCTTTGAGGCCATGGTGTGGGACACCCTGTGACACAGCAGCAGCCCCCTGCAATCCAGCTTGCAGGGGCAAGGTTTGATATTGTCCAAGAAGGCTTTTGGGGCTCCCCCACCACTTCAGGGCTATTTTTCTGGCCAGAAGAAAAGGGACACTGTGGAGGGGAGTTGGTAGATGACCTTTTTGAAGCAGGTCTGCATGGTGAAACTGAGAGAGGGTGGTGGGAAAAAGAAGAAGTTCTGGGAAATGTGTGCAGTTGGGGAGTACACAGGCAGTTCAATGCATGATGTCACTTCAGCATAGACTTTCTTGTCTTGTGTTTTTTTTTTTCTTTTTTTTTTTCTTTTGTTTTTATTTGTTTGTTTTTGTCTTATGCTATTTCAAGGCAGAAGCTGACCTGGCCTTTCAGGAAAACCCAAGCTCTCTGCATGCAACCAGTGGAGCCAGACACTGAAACTATCCTCACAGAACTAGCTTCCAAAAGTGGAGAATAAGTAAGCTGGAGTCTTTAGAGGCTACTTTAGATGGGGAAATGCAGAAGAAAGGAGTAAGTTGCCTTGGCGCTGGGAAGGTTTGTCACAACTGTCTTGTCTATATAAGGAACTACGAAGCCATTCCGAAGCTGAGTGAGCAGGGCTTGGAAATGGTTGGAACAGCACCCAAATGTCTACAGAGGGCAGCAAATTCTCAGTTTTCCTGGAGAGTCTCTCCAGCAGGTTCGCAACAGCACTCTAACCCCTCTGTGCACTTCTGGCAAAGGAACCCTTTCATGGAGTTATTTTTCCTTGGATAACAGGTTGGGTTTGTGCTCTGTACTGCACTGTGGCTTGAGGGGAGGACATGGAGCAGACTTGGCCTGGCATCAGCTCATGCAGTAATGCTCCCTGTGAGCTATGGGCTTTAATCATGCACGTGAAAACTACTGCTGTGTGCCAGGCAAAACAGCCTCGAGCATTGCTGTTCTCCAATGGTTTCTCCCCAGCCTCCCTCACTCAAGTCTGCACTGCTGGCAGGGGCTCCACGGCTTGTCTGGACATCCGTGTTGTTCCCCTCTATCCTCTTCCTTCCTCCTCTGCTGACAGCCCTTAGTCCAGATTCTCCCCATGGGGTAAGAGGAAAGGAAGCAAAAGAAAATGGATATAATTCACCAATGTGATGCTGCACAGAATTAGAGAGGAACTGCACAGAGAGCGATGGATCTCGCCAAGAGAAACTTGGGATGCTGCAGGGAACTAGGATATGAATAAATTATTGTAAGAATCACACATGCAGAACTGGAATGTAATTGCTGAACAAATCCAGATTCATGCTGAAGGGTCTTGAACCACTTTTTTAAGCCAAATGCAGTAATGGCAATTGCTGCTTCTCATGGAAGGTGAACCGATGTGCACAAGTTGGGCTACCACAGCTGGTCATTGCCAGAAACCAAGTCTTCTGGCAGTCAGTCTCTGCTACCCACAAGTGATGCTATTTTTCTTCCTAGAGAATTGTTTGCACGTGGCAGATAGCAGGCTCACATCTGTATCCAGTGTAGCACAACACTCCCACGCTGTAGAGAGGCCGGCACTGCAGTTACATCATTGCAAAGAAAGGCCCAGGGGATGCTCCCAAGGCTCAAGGCTACAAAGGAGCTGGGTTTGGCATGGGGTAGTCCAGATACCAGAATGAAATTCTGTGGGGAGAAGTCCCAAAAGGGAGACTAGTCTCACTCCAAGGTTTGCAGAGGAAACCTGAAGCAGTCCTGCTCTAATACAGTTCTTTACTGCAGACTTTTGGCAGTATGAGGTAGAAGGCAGCAGTAAAGCAGGCACCGCTGTGCTAAGTGCTTTGCCAATGCATAAGAGATGGCCCTACATCCCTATCTCCAGACTTTTTAAAAAGACACCTGAGAGGATGCTCTGTCAGGAGCTAACATAATAGCTTCTCTTCCCTGTGCTCTGAGCATGAGAAACAACTAGCTGGTATGTAACAAACATTTCTTGCATGTGGTTTTGAGGCCTTCTGTAAAGCAACAGATTTTCTTCTGAGCTATGGCAGCCCAGGTTATTCTCTGCTTCTTCTGAAGGGTGAGAGAAGAATGTTATCAAAAGACATGTGCTGGAAGCCCAAAGTGCTGTCCTCAGAGTGAAAACTGAGCTTGGCTTTAATTTTAGGGCTCAAGAGTCACCAGGGGAGCAGCTGTTTTGAAACTCTATCACCTCTGTCCCTGCAACTCAACTCATGGCTCCCCATTCCTGGGAGCTGAGAAATTCCTCTGCTTGCTATTTGTGTCCCCCCTCTGGAACATATAGTAAAAACCTCCTGCTTGGGGCTTTTCTTGATGATGACAGCAGTGAGTATGTGGCACCATCATTCCCAGCCCTGGCAGAGAGCTCTTGAGAAAGGTCAGTGGGCTCTATGAAAAATGCTTGCTTTCACTTCCCAGCTTGGAGTCACCTGATCCTGGTTTTCAAAGATGCTGAAAATTAGGATCTGAGAAGTAACAAGTTAGGTTCCTTCTTCTCCCCTTAAACTCATCTGTACAGCTTGCTGTACAATTGTACAGTGATTTGTATGGAAATGTACAGGAAAGTGAGGCCACACACAAGGAGCACAAACCTCTTTTCTGAATCTGAACCCTAAGCGTGACAAAATTGCCCAGCCTGGTGACACCACAAACCAAGTGGCTCCTCTGTATCAAGGAGCCCCAAGGAAGCAGCACTCCAGTCTGGTGCCATGGCAAGCTGCACAGCGGGAGGGTTGCAGCCCTGCTGACTTGACCCCCTGGATTGCAACTGGAGCAGGATGGAGTCTTGGCATCTCCGAGGCAAATCGGCTGCACACAACCCAGGAATGTGCGATGCTGAGGAAGATAAACTTGTCACGGAGGGTCTGAGCCGGGGAAGAATGGCAACATTGTGCTGCAAGCTGGAAACTCCTTAAGCCGAGTTTATAGTACTCCTCTGTCTCCACACAGCAGTCGTGGCCCTTCCCCTTCCTTTGCCAGCTCCCCTGCCTGGGTGGCATACAGCAGTGAGCAGCTGGACTTCGCTCCAGTGTCTCCCGTGCTGGGCATTTGTGGGAATCCATCAAGACAAGTTAGCAACAAATATCCCCTGTCCCTGAGAGCAGTGACACGTCATGGGGGTGAAGGAGAGAGGAAGAGACCTGGGCAGGAAAAAAATAGCAGAAATAGCTTTAGCTTTCATCCTGGTAAGGAAAAGATGCTCCCTTTGGGGGAGGTTTGGGGCTTGTTTGATGTAAGGATGATGTCCGGGATCAACACTCTGGTTTAGTGCAGCACCTATTCAAGCTCTGTTTGCAAAGAGATGCAATTCTTGAGTTCAGACTGGTCACATCACAGTTTTATCTCAGGAGGGTAGCGAGCAGGACTCCCTTCGCTATGCCTTCCAGAGCAAGGGAAATCCTGACACTGAGCATATGAAGAGCACACTGCATTTTCCAAGGCAAAAAAAAATATATTACCAATTTCATCTCCTTAAACTGAAAGAGGAAAACTGAAACCTTTCCTTCTTTGGCCGGACTAACTGCAGGCTCACACTGTTAATTATTCATGTGTGTGAGGAATATAGCTCTCCCTTCAAACAAAGCCCAGCTTTATGGCCTGTGGTGGGCAAACTGCCTCCACTTAATTAAAACACTTAATCCCCAGCTCAGAAGAAATTTCAGTGAGTGGTTAAGAGGACAGCAAGCAGCTCCACACAAGGCTGTGCTAGTGGAACCATCTCCTCGATGGCCCTGGTGCACTCACCACGAGGTGAACACCTATGTTCACACTCAGGGTCACCCTGCTGACCCTCTGGGGCTGGGCACATTGGCTCTCTGCTACATTGCCAGCTTCTTCAGAGATACACACATAGAATCATAGAATTGTCATGGCTGGAAAAGACCTCCAAGATCATCAAGTCCAACTGCAAACCCTTCAACACCATGCCTGCTAAACCATGTCCCTAAGTGACTCATCTACATGTTTCTTGAACACTGCCAGGGATAGTGACTCCACTCCAGTGACTTCTCTGGGCAGCCTGTTCCAATGCTTCACCCCACCTGTTGTACTTCTAACTCAGGTGAAAGCTCTTGACACCAGACCTGGCAGATTTCAAGACCAAAATGTCCTTTAGAAATCAGCAAGGCAGTTCAGAGATAACAGGCAAAGCCAAGCAGATGCCACACAGAGCCCCGGACACTCGGCGCCGTGGGAGAGCGGAGCAGTAAACACAGCGCGTCACCCGCGCACAGCAGCAGTGCTGACCGTGACCTGCTGCTGGCTCCCGGCCAGCAGCGGCCTGTCTGACAGCAGAGCTCTCTGTGCACGCTGCCGCCAGGCCCTGCAGCTGGACGAGGCTGCCTGGCTCCAGCTGGGACCAGCAGCCCCAAGCGCTGATGCAGCAGGACAGATTAATGGTCCGTCCAGGCTGGTTTGGGGCACTGCACAGTAACCGGCGTTGGCTGCTTCCAGGAAAGCTTTAGCTCACGCCAAGGGGACCAGCAGTGCTCATGGCGATGGCTGGAGGGAGATGCTTCCCGTTCGCCAGCCGTGACCCTTTCCTATCCTGAGCTCTGGGACTAGGCCTTACTCCCTTGACAGGGGAGCCAAGGGGCCTGTTCTCATTTGTGCAGGTCCCAAATCACCTTGAGGAATTTATGGAGCTGACCCCATTAGCCAAATGCCCCCTGGCTGGTGTTCCTTTCATTATCAGCAGTCTGCATTGCTCCCTTATCTGAAGAGGAATAGTGAGATAAGGGGAGAGAGGAGGAAAGAATAAATGAGGCATGAAGGAAACAAAGGGAACGTTTGCCCCAGTTTTCAAGGGTCACCAGAGATGGTCTCTGCTCATCAGAAGTGTCACTGAAGTGAAGAAACCTCTGTGTGCGATGTGCAGGGGTTGGATAACAAGCAAATACCAGCGCACTGCATGTTGAGTTCTTGGTCCGACACATTCCCAGGCCTGAATAAACTTCACCTTTAAGGGTTACTGACCTGCCCGCTCGATGGAAATTGAGAGTGGATGCTTGGTGCCTAGATGGCTGGAGGAGAAACCAAATTATCAGGAATCTGGACATTCCTGTCCTCCTAGGTGACTACTTGGGTCTGTAAGTGCCATTAAACTGGGAGGGGTGATAGGGAACAGACTTCCAGGGAAGCAAATGTATTTGCAGGCAGAGGTCTCACCCTTGTATCTCGCCACAAGGGTCTCTAACTACAACCCTTCATGTGAAATGTTAAAGAAAGGTACCAACCTCTGGCATCCATGGAACAGGCTTGTCCACAGCTGCATAATTTGATTTATTCCTCCCACCTCTCTGCTGCTCTTGGTTCTGAAACACAAGTAAAGGAAAGTCAAAGTAACCTGATAAATGACTGAACACTGACACTACATAAGAGGGCTTAAATGTGGCCACAAGAACAAGTGAGAAAATAGCAAGTTCCTATACTCTTTTCAAAGGAGAGGCTGGCCCTCACAGACATAGTGGGGTGGAAATGCTCCCTGCATTTGAGCGAGCAAATTTGCATGATGGTACACCAAGAAGAAAGAACACTAGGACTTTGCTAGCACAGAGCTAAAAGCTAGATTCCTTTTTAAAAAAGATCCAGGCAACAATTCTTTCAACACTTCCTTCAGGTAACAGTGCTGAGATGGCCTTCAGAAGAAACCTACAGACTTTCTCCTAATCTTTTATTTCTGTCTCCGTCTTGCTTAGTGCTCCCTTCCTGTGCCACATCCGCAGGCATCCTCAGCGCACCACTGGAGCTGGTCACGGCCAACACAGCGTCATCGCCTACAGCAGCGTCTTTGTACGCTCATGTTGCTGTGACTCAGCGCAGAGTTTGTGCTCCTGCTCTCTTTTTTTGGTGTGTGTGAGGAGAGAACTGTCTGTGGGGGCCCCAACACCAGAAAGAGATGTGTTCCCTTCCAAACATTCTGAAGACATCCCAAGTCTCCTCACCTGCTGTCCCAGCTTCTGAGGATAGTAAAACTGGAGGCTCGGGTCCCCAGCTGGGACATTCCTGTCTGCCAGAGCCTTAGCCAGTTCCCGCCAGCTCCCATATCCTGCACAGAGGAAACAGAGAGAGATGTCAGAGTACATGCTAAAAGAAGAAGCTGCAGCAGTTACCAGAATAAACTGGTGTTTTGAGAGGCTGAGAAACCTCTAATCCCCTGGAATTGCCCAGCAGAGACCAGGAGTTGTTTATTTGCAGTGGGCTGACTGACACAGAGGGAGAAAAGGAAATGGTCTTTGCCTTCCTCAAAAAAAAAATCTTCCCTTGCTCTTATTAATTTGTTATGTTACAGATTCATCATAGCTATAAAACACATTTCAAAGATGCTACTGGTTACACTCAAGACCAATTTTTAAACTAATAATATGGAAGGGAAAAAAGCATGAGACAATAGCCAGATTCCTAATTTGTCTAACCATCAAAAGAATATTGTTCTGAATATGCACCAATTTGCAAAATGAAAGCTTTCAGTACTCCTGTCTTGAGGGAAATACTGAATATCTGCAAAGACAGCACCTGATGGGCTATTGAGCTATAAAACTAAAGTATGAGCAGTGAGGTAGTTAAGGACATCAGTACTCAGGCGAAGGCAGCTTCCAGGGTCAAATGCAGCTTTCTTTTCCACCCTGTCCCTTCTCGATCCACTCTATGCAGCAGCCATTCTGAGTTTCCTGCTGCAACTCCCTTGGCCAACTTGGGTTTCTGAGGGACAAAGGCAAGTAGGCACAATGTATTTGTAGCTCTCAGTAACGCTGTCTAAATCACTAGTGAGAGAGCCTAGCAAACAATGTGGTTTTCAGGTCTGCTAAACATATTGGCGAGGAGTCAGCAACTACCCAACCTGACAGCAGTTCAGTGCCGTGTCCACACTACACGCTAGCTCAACTCTGAAGAGTGTAAGTACTAAAAGGTCCTCTCCCAGGCTGGTGGGGGGCCTGCTAAGTATGTACCAGGGAGCGAGGCTGAGCTCTTTGCACGTTTTCTTTAAAAATAGAGATTTAGGTGACAAGGATGATGGCAACTTCATGGGAAAGTGCAGAGCCCTCTGCACTGCTCTTGTTGCAAAAGGTAACAGGGACACGCTCTGAATAGGCAGCAGGGACTACTGTTGAGGAAACTTCCACTCTTTGAGCCAACATACCCATCTTTACTGGGACCTGTCCCAACCCTGCAGCATGGGAAAGGCATTACAGCTAAACGATAAGCAAGCTCCATCAACTGCCCTTATAAGCTACGTGATTTAGATCAGCTCCAAAGCATCCCTGAGCTATGCTAAGGTCAAGGCAAACCCAAAACGAGCCCGGGAACTAGAAGCCACGAGTGGCCCCTTGAGAGATTCCTCTCCCCAGCTGTGCTGAGCTCTAGATCTATTGGCCCTAGAGATACGGTTGTGAAACTCTGCCTCAGCTTGCTCACAAATCCAGGTGATGCAGTTTGTGACAATTAATGAAAAGAAAGTGCAAGAAATATAGAAAATGAGAAAGCAGAAAGTCACAGACAAGGGTCAGAGGCAATTAGGGCATCCTGCTCCCCTGAGGCTAGTGGCCATCTAGGTGATTGTTTTTGACTCAAACCCTATCAGATGCTGTTTAGCAATGAATTTCTGATCTAAGTCACCCCCACTCCCAGACCTCAAGCTGTGTGCTAGTCTATGACTAAAAATATCAACACCGATATTTAATTTATGCTTTTTTTTTTTTTAAACTCACTCTGGGTAAGTAACCTACCATTTAATGCAGCCTGAGCAAGGCTCATGGTTCTGATATTAACTGACTGTCATAAGAAAGAAGAAGAAATTGCTCTATCATCATATAAAATAATA